ATATATAATTTTTATATATTATTAAATAAATAGATACAATTAATATCATAAATTTCAAATAAATAAAATACATAATATAATAAAAATGATAAAACTTATCTGAGAAGTCTATTACAATTTTTTGGAAATTCTAAAGTTTTTTTGGTTGGCATATAAACTAAATATAAAAGGGAACAAAGGACGAAGTCACAAGACAAAGCTTCTTTACTTCTTTCTCCAACCGAAAAATCAAGGTTAAAAGCTCAAAAGAATCTTTGAAAAAGATAGAGGAATTACTGCAAGAAGACTGATATTTGCTGCAATCTCTGTTGGTGGACCACAAATTCAATAGGTATTGTTTACTACCGAGAGTTTGATTTGTCCTAGGGTTTGGTCTTCTCAGTCGATGAACAATAACCAAAAAGCATGAATATTATAAGATTTAATATATATTAAGCTTAATTAAATAGTAATTAAGGATTAATTAATATGATTTTGTGCTTAATTTCATTGTTAAGCTTTTGGGCTTTGGTGGTTCATTGAAAAAAGAAAGTAAAATTGTTTTGTTATATGTTTTAGTGTTTAATTTTTTTTTTTAATCTCCAAAAATTGCTTTAGTGCTTAATTTCATTCACTCACTTGAATGTGTTATTTGGTTAACTCACTACATTTGGTAATATATTTACGAATGTATTAGGTTGGGTTTTGTTTAATAAGGATTTAAGGTTTATGTCATATGCAGTAGTATGGTTAAGTATGGTTAATGCTTAGGTTTGTATGTATATTTAATTAAGATTAAGAAAAATTATTATATTTTTTATTATTTCTTTTCACAACAATGGCAGACAAGGAAGTTTATGGTGGGGCAAATCATATGGACTTTTTTAAGGTTGGCGATAATGGGGCAGGTTGTGTCACAGAAGAAATAATGCAAGATGGTGGTGAATATGTAGAAGAAATTGATGCAGCAAATGGTGCTAAAAATGATGCTAAGGGATCAGGAAAACATGTAGAACAGTTTTAGTTTGGTATGTATGATGAGACAGAAATAGAATTTCATGCAGTAGATGGCATTGAAAATGAAGAGGAGCCATTTTTTGATGTTGAGGATCTTCATAGTGATGCAGATGATCAAATCGTTGAAGCCTTCTTAAGAGAAAGGGAAAATCACAAAAAGAATCTAGAAAAGAAGGAGAAAATAAGAAAGGGAAAAGCAATAGCAACATCAAGCAACATGGAAAATCATCATGAGAAGCAAGATAGAAGAGAAATTCACTCGGGTTTTGATGATGATGATCTAAGTGCTAAATCTGATGACAGTGAAGATGAACTTTATATTCCCAGTGATGATCCAGGAGATTATTTTGACCAGTCAATGTTGACTCAATGCACTCCAAGAGGTGGGGTGAATTGGAGTTGGAGAATTTTCGCCTTTTTGCAACCACCAAACAAAAATTAAAGAGAGAGTTGAGAAGAAGAGATTGCACAATGATTTTATAGAGGTTCGGTCCAACCACTT